ATCTCTCTCTCTCTCTATGTATATATATATATATATATATATATATATATATATATATATGTATGTATGTATATGTGTGTGTGTGTATTTCAGTCTATTCAAATCTATTTCACTCGATACATGTCTGTTTCAATCTATTCCCATCTATCATTGCTCAACTGATGATAGAACGATTTACTCCTGTCTCAGTCCAGTGAGGTCAGGTTGGTGGCTGATGTCAAAAACAGCATTCAGTCTGTTTTTAATTGGATTGTTATCTAAACTGTTCTATATTAATCATCTTGGAGCCCCCTTTGTTCCTTCCAACAGTATGGCTGATGCTAATCTCCAGGATATTGACGCGTTACACCTTCTCCCTCTAACGTTCTCGGCTGATGAAGTGGAAAGACTCTATTGAAACAATTTCTAGATCAGCTATAAAAAGTTGTTTCACTGTGTTGTGCTAGACAGCTTCAGTCTGCCCCTTCCTAATGTTAAGTATAAGTTTCCTTTTTGTTTCCTTTTTGTTTCATTTTTCTCGAAAACCTCGTCGTTGCTCACGTGTTCTTTCCTTTTTGTTTCCTTTTTCTCGAAAACCTCGTCGTTGCTCACGTGTTCGGTCTATGGTATCCTCATCAGTTTTCTGTAGAACCCCATTTCCGTTGCTTCAAATCTCTTCTTCATCTTTGAGAAGATTGTTCAGCATTCGCTGACATACCGGAAGACAGATGTCACGTGACAATTCTATACTCATTTCTTTGTTTCTAACAATTGTTTTTTTCTATTTCTTAATACTGATCTCTTCATATATTAGTGAGATCGAAGAGCAACTATGCAGAGACGTCTTCAAAAATTTTGACCATCACGTGGGGGAGTGCGGCCGAAGCCTTGGTGAGCATTTGGGCGATATTATTTTTCACACATAATTGCCATGACTTAAATAACATGATCCAATAAAGAAATAAAGAAATTTTCACCAATGAATTTATTTGCTGGCGACTTTGATCCCTCTTAACGAAACACCTTTTCTACGTTGTTAAGATGGTGTAGGATATGGAACCTTTCCTAGCCTACCTATCTATATTTCATTGTAGATGTAAGCCAGTGCATCACGAACAGAGTGATTAAATTTGCTAGACCTCTACCGTACATAAACCACATGCGTCTTTGTATTACCAGGAGTACATCCTTTTGCAGGCCTGGAAGTGTGTTCGAAATAAAGATTCTGTAGACAGCTCCTGTTCATATATATATATATATATATATATATATATATATATATATAAGTGTGTGTGTGTGTGTGCAAATATATAGAAAAATAGGAAAGAACACGTTAGCTAAATAATCCAGATTTATTTAGTATTTTTTTATTTAAAAAAAAGAAAACAGTTATCCATTAAGGAGTTTTTATTACAGATCTTGCTAAGTCTGCTATTATTTGAAACATGAGCACTCTTATGTAGCGGAGGAATCATACTTACATACTTATTTAAATAATTATATATATATATATATATATATATATATATATATATATATATGTTTAATACAAAAAACAAAATAATTGTATATGTATATATGGTTAATGCAAAAACAAAATAATTATACATGTCGATATATATATATATATATATGTGTGTGTGTGTGTGTGTGTGTGTGTGTGTGTGTGTGTGTGTGTGTTTAATACAAAAGAAAATATTTCACCGAGCTGATTGATCTTTCATTCAGCAAGAGGAATTCAATGTTTCGTCAGATGAACTTTTGAGGAATTGTTCTGTCCACCCCTCAGGAGATATCGGCAAACGTCTGTTATTTTACTCGTTTTCTTTATTTGTATAATATGTTACCAAAAACCAATTCATTCCATTTTTCGTATTGGTGTTAGGTTGATTTTTCTTCTTTGTGTATGTGCGCTCGTACGCGTATGTGCGCCTGTGTGTATAAGCATGTGCGCGTGCTTATGCGCACAGGTGGTGTATGCCGAGGTTATTTCTTATTTTCATAACACATATATGTGTGTGTGTGTATATGTGTGTGTTATAGTCTATACGTATATGTATGTGTCGAAACTTTTTTTTTTTTAAGAACATGCATCAGTGGGGGGAAGTCTTTGAGAAAATTACCTAAAATAAATTATCACTGTTCCAAAAGGGTTATGGCCACCAGTTGAACGGGGCACACACCTACATCATTCTTTGCCAATGTGTCTTGGATTTCGGTATTTGGCGCCAAACATATCTTCGTTTTAGTTTCCTTAAGTCATTATCTTTCGTTTCTTTTTTTATTAAAGGCAGATCAAAAAAGATATATCGATATAGTTTTTCTAGAAATGCGGAACTAATACACCGCGCCTTTTTTACCTGCATTATGCAAGTCAACAATGATAAAACCCCCACAAAATACAAGAAAAGTTTTAGAAAAAAAACGTCTTCTCCCTCCGTCTTCCATTGAATTATTTGAAATTAAATGTCCGACTGAAAATAAAATTAAAATATATTCTCTCAAGAAGTGAAAGAGCACTAATTTCCGAATCATTGCACACATTAATACACATACATAATAATAAATATTAGCCAGCTACTGGTGTCCAAAATGGTCTACTAGGGCAGTTACCTTACTATATTGTAGACTCCAGTTCAGGCACATTATTTTGTTCAACACCCACAGAAACAACTTTAGGGTTAGACTTCAACTATGTTGAGTTATGTTTTCTGGGAGAAAGCGCATCATTTGCCGTGGTCAAAGCCAGCACATTCAAACACTCAGTCACGTTGACTTGCGACTTCGTGCGAGAAAAGACAAAAAAATCCGTCTACCGATTTTCGCTCACAAGGCAGTGTCGATCCGTTTTATGGTTTACATACATTTTCCAAAATTCCGCTAATCTGAAATTTCCTCCATCGAGCAGTTACCCTCCTGAAGAATCGACCATGGTAATATTCGAACCCGGAACTCATGGCCAGAAAGCGACTATTCAAACAACACCAACAAGTTACGTCTAGTATCTGTTTATATTTCTGAGATGAGGTATTATGTACACTATTTATATTATTCGGACTATTGTCCTCATCTTTCTGTCTATATTTCTGAGATGAGGTATTACGTACACTATTTACATTATTCCGACTATTGTCCTCATCTTTCTGTCTATATTTCTCAGATGAGGTATTATGTACACTATTTACATTATTCGGACTATTGTCCTCATCTTTCTGTCTATATTTCTGAGATGAGGTATTATGTACACTATTTACATTATTCGAACTATTGTTCTCATCTTTCTGCCTATATTTCTCAGATGAGTTATTATGTACACTATACATTATTCCGACTATTCTGTCCATATTTCAGAGACAAGGTAGTATGTACACTATTTACATTAATCGGACTATTCTCCTCCTCTTTCTGTCTATATTTCACAGATATGGTAAAATATACATATTGTACATTATTTACACTATTGTCCTCATCTTTGTCGTTTCAGGTGGTTGGAATTTCGAACTGAACCCTTTTATTTCGATCACTGGAGTAGACTGTTCTAGTTCCACGTGCCATGTTTAATGGATGTCAGTTATCAGTTATCTCCTGTTAATTTCCCTCTCCATGCTCTTCACTGCCTTAACCGGGTAATGAACTCACACTCTTTGGGACATTTCACTGGATCTAACCAACGCCTTTATCCATTGTGCAATGTGTTCTTGAGGTCATCTGTGTATGAATTTCTGGGTATTATGAAACTAATGTCGTCAGCTACCATTTTTTTACCAGTGCTCATATTGCAATTTTTGCTGTTACCATTTCAAGTTTTTAACAGAGCTCATATTGCAATTTTTGTTGTTATTATCGCTTTTCTCTGGTCCTCCTTAATACTGGTTCCCATATTGTATTCATTTCTATGCTTGGTCGGTTCAGAAGATTTTTGTGGCCTAGCATATGTGCTGATTCCTTAAGTTTACGAATTTTCCAATGGTTTTCTTGGTCTATGTTTTCAACCTGATCCCACAGAGGGCGGTGATCTCTCTTCTCTCTCCATATATGGTCAGCCACGCCTGATTTTGTGACTTAATTTTTAATTCCATGAAACCAAAAAGCTCGGAAGACATTTTGATATATATAATGGACTCTCCCGTCGGTTTCGACGTATGAGGATCTGACAGCGTAATTGATTCAGTTATGAAATTTTGTGCGATAATCTTAAGTGGTATTTAAGACTCGCTAGTGATTTACAAAAGAGGCCACATATGGAGCAAGTGTGAATATTGTGAGATGAGATCACTATTCGATTGGCTGACCATTTAGATCTTGCTATCTCTTCTTGAAGATGATTCAGACAAGTAGATTGAAAACTGCTGAGTCCACTAAAACACGTTGATCTCCATTCTACCCGCTCCAAAGCTAAGCGCTCAATGGTGTTATGTGGTATATTGACTGCTGACAAGTTACTTTTAAGCTTGTCTTTGTATCTTAGCTATGGGCAACCTACATTCTTGTAGCCCTGATCTAACTGGCTGTACATTAGGATCTTGGGTATCCTGTCATCACATATTCTCAAGTCATGGACCAGTCCACCGTAACTGAGACTATATGAGAAAAGTCTCGATTCCTCCAATATTACACCTGTTAAACAGGTCTACGTTAGATGTCCTATCTTGAAGGTTAACTCCACGGATTGCACGCATACAGCTTTTATGGAAAACATCCAGCTGACGTATGTGGTACCTGAATAGAGTCCATGACCTGCTATTGATTTACAAAGGAGGCCACATATTGAGCAAGTAAATATATTTATATAATAATAATAATAATAATAATAATATATATATATATATATATATATATATATATATATATATATATATATATATAATGACATCTCTAATGTCTTTTAAGAACTGCAAGAGTCTTGCCGTTTTTCTCACATTACTAGTATGTTAGTCGTCTTGCCACTAGCTTGCCTTTCTATATGCTGGCCGTGGAAATGTCGTGTCAGTTCGATGACGGATCGATTCACCTCATGCCAA